CCCCCCCCCCCCCCCCCCCCCCCCCCCCCCCCCCCCCCCCGCGTGAGGCCGGGGTAGGGAGAGTTTGCTTGAGCATTGGAACCCATCTCCTAACAAAGACATGGGGGTTCAGATTCTTATTTGCTCAGCGTTAATGGGAATCCTGTGGTCTTGGCCATGATAGATTAGAATCACAGAAGCCAGGGGCTGGCCAGAACCCCTGCCATGGCATGCCAGTGTTTTTTTGTTTTTTGTTTTTCTGAGACATCAGCTGAGCAGAGAATGGAGAAATTCTTGAGTTTCAAGAATTCACTGACTTTTACGAGTTTGCTGAGCTGCTGTAAACAGTTGGAGAAGTCTAGCTGGGCCAGGGGACTTTCCCAGCAGATGGCTTCCTCCTGCCCTGCACAACTGGGGCAGGGTCACGTGCCCGGGGGTTGGGTCCCATGCTCACTGCAGACAACAATAAGGAACCCATACTCTCAGGTGTGTTGGGAACATTCAATGGAAGCATATATACAGAAGGCTTTGGAAAGTAAGATGCATAAAGAACTGTTGTTCGAGTCAACTCAACGCAAGGTCAACAACTTCTGGCTCAGAAACGAGGCCCTAAAGAGAGGGCACAGGTGTTGGGGTCAGGTGGGCCTGGGTTCAAGTCCCAGCCCTACTGTTTACTAGCTGGGTGGCCCTGGACAAATCACCTCATCTCTCTGGTTCCTAATCTGTAAAACAAAAGTAATTTAGTCCCTCTGCGGTCGTTACAAGGAGCCAATGAGACTAATTGTAAGATTCCTGGTACATAGTAGGGCTTGAGAGATAGAAGCTATCACGATCAGCGCAAGATCGTGGAAAAACCATGGTCTGGAACAAGCTCCCCAGGGTTTCTGGGCCTGTTTTCCTGTCTACAGGATGTTGGGCAGCAGGGCTGTTGTGAGGATGAGGGACACGTGAGGAGCTCCGAGCACGGAGCCTGGCACATAGTAGGTCCTCAGCCCCCGGAGCTCGGTGGGGCGTCACTCACTCTGCTTGATGTCGCTGTCGGGCCCCGGGCGGCCTTCAAATCGGCCGTCCCTCTGGTTGTTGAGCAGCTCTCTCTCCCTGCCCACCGTGCTCTGCTGCCGGGAAACTCCGTCCAGGTCGAGAACGCCGGTGTGGGCGGACGAGCCGGGGCCCAGCTTCGGGGGTGAGGGCTCCCCACTGCTCTTCTTTAGGTAGGAGGCTGGGGCCCAGCCCTCTTTGCCCTGGTACCTGGGAAGAGGAGGGATGCTGGACAGGCTGCTCTGCCAGATGCACAGAAAGAAGCCGTGTTCCTACCACGCACGGCACTTCAAGTCCCAGACGGCAGGAACGATGGGCCAGAGGCCCTTGCTGACCTCAGCTCGGCATTCAAGGCCTTTCCAACCCGCCCTCTGCCTGCCTCCCCAGCCTCATCTCTTAACGGCAACCCCCATGCCCCTCCTACTGCACAAGACTTGCAGTCTCCCAAACGCACCACCATCGTTCACTCCGGCGGCCTCTGTTCTTGGAAACTCTGTGTCGGGAAAGCCCCTTCCCACTGTCCTTCCTGTTCTTTCTTCCCCAGCTCTGCTTACTGGTCATTTCCTTTCTCAAGCCTTTCCTGAGCCTCACAGAGAATGAACCCCTTCCTCCACGGTGACCCAGTGTCTCCCGCACACAACACCACCCTAGCACCTGGGACACACAGTGCACTCAGCTGTGGTGGTTCTGTCTCCCCAGCTAGAACACGAGCTCCTGGGGTACGCTGCACCTGACTGATCTCTGTGTGGCAAGAGCCTTGGTGCCAGGGAGTTGAATAAAGAAATAAAAGGACAAGTGGACAAACTGCCCATGGGCCTGGCAAAGGCGAGCAGCCATAAAGCTCTGCTACACTCACTGTCCCGTTACAGTCATCGCAGAGATGACAACAGTGATAACTGCCACTTAGTGGGCACCTACTATATGCCAGTCTGTTCTACCCACTTTCCCGCTGTTGACATACTTCACGCATCCAACCCTGGGAGGCGGCAGAAACGGACTGAGACCTAGGCAGTTGGCACCAGTCTAGTCTCTGCTCCTAACCTGTTTTGCTGCGTCTTCCCAGCAGCCCCAGCTTCTGGCACAAAGCCTGGCACAGCCAGGGCATGGCTCCAGTCACACTGGTTAACATGTAGATTAAACATGCATTCAGGGGGCGCCTGGGTGGCTCAGTCGGTTAATTGGCAGACTCCTGGTTTTGGCTCAGGTCACAGTCTCAAGTTTTCGTGAGTTTGAGCCCCACGCTGGGCTCTGTGCTGGCAGCATGGAGCCTGAGAGTCTCTCTCTCTCTCTCTCTCTCTCTCTCTGCCCTTCCCCCACTCATACTATATCTTTAAAATAAATAAACTTCAAAAATAAAAAATAAAAAAATAACCACCATGCATTCAGCTGGTCAGGAGCTGGTTCCACGACTTGCTAAGAGTCAGCTGGTGGTCACTGAACTGCAGAGTGACCGAGACCCTGATGGACAGCTCACTGAATTCCAAAGGATTCAACGAATGCGATCGCTTAATTCTCTGCACAACAGAGCTCAGTTTCATAGCATGAGCCGAGGGGTCAAATTGGACCAGAGGGGTGCTGGAGCCTGCTTGCACCAACTGGTGAGCGTCAACTGTGTTCGTCTCTTCCGAACTCCACATTTAGTGACGTTGCACGGGAGGCTTGGAATCACCCGGTGGGACTATGTACACTTTGGAAAACACCACAACTCAAGGGTAGTTTTCCCTTGAGAACCGGATGTCAACTATTTGCAAGCACCCCGCTGGTCTGGCCCACATAATGCATGCCCACACCTCTGGGGGAGAGTGGAAGAGACCTGAATGGCTGGAGATGATATATGGCAAGGCCAAATCTCTCATCAAGAATCACTTCAAGAACTAAACAGCACTGTGTTTCAGTGACGACAAAGGTCCTTTCTAACTGGAAGCCAATTTACAGGAGACAGAAATCTGCAGGATTTGATGCCTTTCAATCTTAAAATATCTTCTGAGAGGGAGCCAATCTTGTCCTAACTGGAAAATGTCATGCTACCTAGAATCCAGGCCCTCGGCACGAGACAATTCACTGTCTGGGGTCACAAAGCCACAAGCAGAGCAGCACACGTAGAGGTGAGTGGCTCTGGGGTGAGAAAGGTACAGGTTTAAATCCTGGTTTGTCACTTTCCAGCCTCAGCTGAACCTTCAGATGATGGCATGCGTCGCTGACATCCTACCGCAACCTCAGGAGGGACCCAAGTAAGTCACTCCTTGAATTCCAGAGCCACTAAGTTTTGGGACAATTTGTAATGTAGCTGACACCATATGCACTCAGGATATGTTAGGTGTCACTGTCACTACTCCTGCTTCAAACCTCAGTTCTGTAGACCCCTCCCAGGAAGCCATCCTGCCCCCCCTGAGCTCAGGAGCTCCTCTTCTGTGCTCCAGAGTCCCCATGCATCACCACCCTGCCGGGGGACTGAGCCTGCCTGCTGTGCCTGCTGGTGTGAACCTCCGTGTCTTTCTCACTGTTGACTCCCCAACTCCCAGAACAGGGCTTGGCCCAGTACAGATTCTTGGTGTTTGTTGAGTGAATGAATGAAATGCCACAGGCTGAACCCCGATGAATGGCCCTAATATCCTGCATCACATTGCTGTATAGACACCAGGTCCCAAGGACTTCTTTTTTTGCCCTGATGTCTTGTTGCCACTGCCTGCCTCCTAAGGTAACCAAGGAGGGGTTCCCAGGACTAACACTGGTGAAGTGGCAGGCAGGCCAGGAGGAGTTGGCACTCATAGGGTTCTGATTGCATCACATAGGCGAAAGAGCTGTGATAAAGAGTTCGAAAGCTGGCCTCCAGCTTATACTACTGAACTCTGAGATGAGGGCAATTTTTGGCTCTAGGATGAGTTGCGGTCCTGTGGTGTTATGCATCCTGTTGGGGTCACAGCAGGGCTGGAGTGGGAAATCACCCGCACAGGGCAATGCAGCGTCTCCTTACGAGAAACACATGGGGGTGGAAACCAGTCTTGCTCAACAAGGTTACCGCTATCTGTGGTTTGGGGCATTTGGAGGTTTTGTCTATTACGGATTTTTAGAGAAGGATCTGGATAGGGAGGGAGTCTAAACGGCACCGAGGAGAAGCATCCTTTTGTGGCTCAGGCCAAAACCTCATCCCATCCATCTGTAATCACTTACAGACCTCTGAGCAGCCAGAGACCATGTGACCACTCAGTTGCAGCAGGTACCTGATCTTCCACCAGCCTTCCAGGTTCTTCTGGATCACCTCCACCACAGCCCCTCGCTCTAGATTCATTTCATCCTGGTCGCGAGCTGTGTACGGGTAGATGACTGTGTACTTCTCCTCTGCAGGGACAAAGGGATGCTGGGTTAAGTCAAAGACAGTGAGAGTCCTGGGATGCTGACGGCCAAGGCTGTGATACATGAGACGCCCTTGCCCACTGAAAGGAAGGATTTCCTCCAGAAATTTCTGGGGACCCCCTAGGCCCCCATTTAGGCCTGGATGACCCTGTGCAAGCAGCAACAGGACACAGGTCAGGTCCCAATCCCTCTGTCCCTCTGAAATCCCTCAGGGTCATGCAGTCATCCTCATCTTCCTCAAGGTCAAAGCTGTGCTTCAAGGTTACTTTCCTTGACCTTGCTTTATGCAGTATTCCAACTCATGGCAATCTCATCCCTCTTACCCAGGTTTATTTTTTTCCTCATACCAGGAATTACCTTCTAACACACCATACAATTTACCTGGTGATTGTGTTTTGTGTCTGTGTTCTCTGCTAGAATACAAGCACCACGAAGGTAGGGATTTGTGTCTGTCTCAGTTATTCCTCTGTCTCTAGCACTGGGCACGGTACTGGCAATACTGTGTAACTATTTAGTACATTAGTCAACGTTTAGTAAATGAATAGTTCCCAAAGGCCTGGTGGGAGCCACCTAGCTCATGCCAGAGGGGGTTAAGTCATCTGTGGCTCCTCCACATTCTTGCCGGTAGAGGGTTCAGGGGTAAGCTAGATTTGGCAACAGATGGTTTCAGGCTGAAATCCCTACCAAGGAGGCTACAGCTAGCAATTTTCTTTCTTCCTTTAATTTTTAAAAGCAATTGTCATTACCTAGTGGGTAACTGACCTTCATTTTTCATTAATTATTTTCAAGCCGCTGGATCCAACCACGCCTGAAGCTTCCATTTTATTTTTAATATTTTGTTTTTTTAATTGAGATATTAATTGACATTTAACACTGTATTCGTTTTAAGCGTGTCACATAATAATTTTATGCACACACATGACCGCACGCGCGCACACACACGTGTGCACAGTGAAATCACTGCCTGCTTCAACTTTCGTTAATGTGACTGGCGTGCCTTCCACCTCACTCTCAGTGGTGTCTCCCTCTTTCCCCTCAAAGCCCTGGGACTATTTCTCAGGCTCTGCTTGGAGGACTGCTCACTGTCACAAGCTGGCAGGGCCCTCCGGAGAACAAGAGAATAGCTCCCGTGCTCAACACTGTCAGCAGGGACTTCTGAGACAGAACAGATGAGTGTCCCCAGGGACCCTGAAGAGGACACGGAAGGGCTTTCCTATGTAGCTTACATTCCGGCCCCCAGGGAGTGACCGAGCCAGCTGTGGGCTGGTGTTGATGGCCAGCATGTTGGGGCCGACTCTCTTCTCTTTGGGAAAACACCACAAGCTGTCTGTGGCCTGCCCAGCTGGTGTCGAGGGAGGTGGAAAACACAGAGGGAGTTTATTTATTTATTGATGTAGCCCACTGACCTGCTCTGTGGGGGCTGAGCTGACTCAAGTTGCAGATATCCTGCGTACAGCAGAGTCAGCTGCTCCCCTCACTCATGGTAGCTGCAGGGTGGGTGCGGGTGCTGTGAGGAGTGCAGGGGGTAATTCAAACCCGTAGATGCACAGAAGTTCTCTCTGGTTGGGTGGGAAGGGTTGCTGCTTCAGTCCTAGACTAAATGCTGTCAGTCCTACGGGCCCTGGACTCCTGGGGGCCCACCCCTCACCTGAATTAAACACGGAGATTCTCCGGCACCCGGAGGCGCTCTCTGGGCTCCATGAAACACTTAGTGATCCCGAACAAACCTTACAGTGGGAAACCTTGCAGACTGCATGGCAGGTGCCCGCTGACACTGCATGCTTAGTGTCTGTCTGCCCTTTCTCTGTCGCCACTACCAGCCTCCATCCACATGGTTTGGGTAAGGCTGACCTTACCACTGCCTTGGAGGGATGGGGAGGGTGCAGAACCCCGGCCTGGCCAAAGTGCTGTCTTCCCCTGGCCACTGTGATTGGTTCAGGGATAGCATGTGGGTCGGTCAGAACCAGTCCTAAGACTTGTGTTGAAGGAGAAGCACTTTCTTTGGTAGGTATCTCTGAAAGGTGCCTGGAATTGCTGTCATGAGAAAATGGTGTCGGCAAGGTAGACAGCAGAGCAGAGGGGAGGAGAGTTAAGTCCCAGGTCCCCATAATGTTTTCAAGCCCCTGGATCCAGCCATGCTTGAAGCGAGTCCTTCCCCAGACTTTTCAGTGACGAGCTGATACATTTCCCTTTTGGCCTAGGACAGTTTGATGTGGGTTTCTTCCCCTTGTGATGTGTCTGATAAAAGAAACAGGTCACTGGCTCAGCATTATAGAGGCCCCAGGCATTATTTTTCAACCTGGTAAACTTTAGAGCCCCAGGCCGAGAAATACTGCCCAAACCTACATACCAACACACACAGAACAGGCAAGGTCACTGTTTCTCACATGCAACAGGCATGGGCAGTCCCCGAGCAGGAAGACGCATGCAGACGCAGGGACCCAGCTCCAAACACTGAACAGGGAAGAAAACCCCACGGTAGGCACCTTGACGCCAGCTGATGGCATACAAGTCCCCCAGAGTCCGGCGGCGGCCCACAGGCCGGGGCAAAGACCAGTACCTCCATGAGACTGGACAGGCAGCATGTAGAGGTGAAGGGCAGAAGGCAGAGGTGAGAAGAAAGCACTCCCAGTGTCTGGAGGCAAAGGGGACGCTGAGCGCGCGTTCCCGTTTAGGAGGAATTATTTCTGAGCCTACGCCAAGCCCCAGGTATCTTAAAAGGACCAACTTCCTGAGTATTAACCTTGAACTCGGGTGCAGAGGCCACCAGTAGATATAATTCTATTCCTAGCGTGACTTATAAAGAGGCACTAAAAGAAGCCCTTGTGTCAAGGGAGAAGAAAAATGTGCAAACTTAGGAAAATGTGGGATCTCTCCACCTTTTAGCTGTGTGACCCCAAGCAAGTGTCTCTACCTTTCTGAGCCTGTCTCCTCATCTATCAGATGGAGTTAACAATCAGTCTCTTACAGCGGGGTGCCCACAATGGTCATCATCAACTGCCTAAGGGAGCTACAGCTCTCATGCAGAACACCACAACCCCTGAATCTTAGTGGATTCTTTGAGTTGGCCCAGCCCCTCAGAGCTTGGGGGCCCCACAAAACCACCAGTAAAACGACATACGTTTTCGATGAGGGGTGCTGGCTATAATAAAACTAAACGCAAACCCACATATACATTTTTTATTAACCTTTCAGCACAGAATTATCCCCCTTCTTGTCACCCTCTTTTCTGATAAACACAAAAAGTGGTTTTGTGCTTTCCCCCGAACAGTCAGCTAAAAGCCCAAATAGTCACCCCTGGGTAAGGCATAGTTATTTAATAACTGTTCCTAGTTATTTATTGTCTCCGGTTCTTTGCCAAATGCTTTGCATGTGGAATCTCCTTTAATTAAGAAAAAAAAAAATCTCACGGTACAGACACCATCATTTCCATTTTTAGAGGAGGAGGCTGAGGTGGAGAGAGGTTAAGGTGCTGGCCCAACTCAGCTAACTCACATTCAGGTCTGACTCTAAAACCCTTCGATTTATTAGCTAAGATGGACTCCTACTCTAGTGTCAGGAATGCTTCTAGTGGGGAAAACAGAGTCAGCTGGGCGTTAGCATTTTTGGCATTGTAGGAACCACCCTTCAGGACACCTGTAGGGTAAGTTCTCCAGGAAACGGAAGTGTGCGTGGAGAGGGTCAGGCCTAAAGCTGACACCCAGACTGGTCGCTGAGAAAGCACACGTTGATAGATACTTTCAGATGTCTTGCGAATGAGCTGGAAGGAGCCCAGCATCTTGGCCATCAGAATGGTTCGAGTGAGGAATAGTGAGGTGCTGGGGTGATCAGGCTGGGGCCCTCCTGGGGGTCCCATGGAAGTGTTAGGTCCCCAGCTCTGGCCAGCCTCACCTGGGTTGGCTCCCAAAGGCCCCTAAGGGTGGGCTTGCTGTTAGCCCCAACCCCACGGCAAGTGCAAGGCTCCAACTCCTTCCTACCTTCTTCAGGCTGTAGTGAAAACTCATCCTGCATACCATCCTGCCCTTCCAGGCAGGTTGCGGGGACCCAGCCTTGCTCTTCAGCCGTGCTGACAAACCACCAACCTGGAAAATGAGAGTGCAGACTGATGTTAGTTGGGTCAGATGTGAAGCCTGGGGGTCAGAGTATAATAATATGTTCAGCCACTATGAGTCCATGCTTAGGGTAAGGCAAAAAGTTGCCATTTTGTCATGGAATACAGCTACCCATGTTAGCTGCCTGCTAACTGCTAAGAATAGCCTAAGAAGAAACCCACTTCTGGGGCGCCTGGGTGGTTAAGCATCGGACTTCAGCTCAGGTCATGATCTCAGTTTGTGAGTTTGAGCCCCATATCAGGCTCACTGCTGGCAGCACAGAGCCTGCTTTGGATCCTCTGTTCCCCTCCCTCTGTGCCTGCCCCCCTTCTCTCTCTCTCTCTCTCTCTCCCTCTCACACACACACTCTCTCTCTCTCAAAAATAAATAAACATTAAAAAAAAAAAAAAAGAAGGGGCACCTGGGTGGCTGAGTTGGTTAAACATCTGACTCTTGGTTTCTGCTCAGGTCATAATCTCATGGTTTTTTGAGTTTGAGCCCCACATTGGGCTCTGCGCTGACAGTGTGGAGCCTGCTTGGGATTCTCTGTCTCCCTCTCTCTCTGCCCTTCCCCTGCTCACGCTGTCTTTGTCTCTCTCAAAATAAATAAATAAACTTAAAAAGAAAGAAAGAAAGAAAAAAAAAAAAACCCACTTCTGAGCTGGGACAGGGGAGAGAAAGGTCGTCCTGAATGGTGAGAGTAAAGAATGTAGCTATCTTCACTAAGGTATGCAAGGCACTAACCATTTTACTTACACTGTTTTATATAATCTTCAGATTATCATCCCCATTGCACAGATGAGGAAACTGAGGCTCCAAGAAGTCAGTACACTTGTCCAAGTTCACATGGCTCAGGGCAAAGCTGCTATGTGCACCCAGGGCTAAGAGATACTGAAGCCACTGCCCTGATGACTTATCTGAGACACTGAGTTTGCATTTGCTCATGTCACAGTAAATCTGGCTGCAGTGTAACTGAGAGGCCCCTCACCCAGACTCAGGTCCTCCTCCTTTCGAGAAGGGCTTGTACCCTGTGGCAGGCAGAACAGTGACTGGCCAAAGATGTCTGTGTCCTCATCCTGGGAACCTGTGCCTATTTTAAGGAACTAAGGTTGCAGGTGGTGGGATCAAGGTTGCAAAGCAGCTGAACTACAAATAGGGGGTTATCTGGGGTTATCAGGGTGGGCCCCATGCATTACAGGGGAGGCAGAAGAAGAGTCAGGGAGGTGTGGCTGCGGAGGAAAGACGAGAGAGGCACAGTACTGCTGGCTCTGAGGACTGGGGAGGGACCATGAGCCAAGGGATGGGGTGGCCTCTAGAAACTGACTGGAAAAGGCAGAGAAGCAAATCCTATCCAGAACCTGCAGACGGGAACTCGGCCCTGCCAGCGCCTTGATGTTAGCCCAGTGGGACCCGATTTGGACTTGAGACCTACAGAAGTGTAAGATGAATAATTTACGTGGTTCGAGGCCACTAAGTTTGTGGTACTTCGTCACAATGGCAACCGGAAATTAACACAGGGCCCAACAGGCTCTGCACAGTATAATGGAAAAACAGGATCTGCTCCCCAAGATCACATACCTCCAAGCCCTGGAGACCCCAAAAAAGAAGAGAAGGAAGGGGCAGCCTACTGAGTAGCCTTTCTGGTTTTACAGGGAGGCCTTTGCTTTTGACCTCCCTGACTTGGAAGTCACCTACTTTACTCGGCTGGACACTCCTTTTGCAATACAAGTTTTGGTGGCTGTGTGTGTGTGTGTGTGTGTGTGTGTGTGTGTGTGTGTGCGCGTGCATGAGTGAATGGGGTGGATAAGTCTGTGGAAAACCAGAAATTAGAAGTATGTCTTCCTAAGAACTCGTATCTGCCGGTATTTGTGTGGGGGTTCAGGAAACTCACTATATAACAACGACAGTAACGTGTGCCAGATTGTCACAGTGCTTGACATCTGACTGGCGGGATCCTCACAATAGCCCTACAAGCTGCCTACTATTACTGCCCCATTCTACAGATGAGGAAGCCGAGGCTCAGAGAGAGGCAGTGACTTGACTAAGGTCACAAAGAAAGTGGCAGAGCCAGGATTCATTCCTAGGCTGTCCTAGCCTCACAGTCTCAGCTCTTAACTCTGCACCAATGCCTCATGCATTGCTAGAGGGAGAGTAAATTGCCATGACCAGTTTGGAGGCAATTTGGCAGGATCTTAAAATTCAAAATATGTGTACCTACGGTCCAGTAGTTCTATGTCTCATTGTCTAACCTAAAGAAACACCAGTGTGCACAGATATTCTATTCATGGTAGAGAAAAATATGGCTTATGTAGATCAACAGTAGGCAGATGTTAAGGGAATAAAAGCTGAATGTTGACTAAAAAGCATGCTGCAGATCAAAATGATCAAAAGGTACAGAATGATAACACTGGGGTTAAACTATAAAGTTATATCAACACACACAAAATGTTGTGTGTGTGTGCATATGGTTACGTATCTATGTATGGGCACACATGTAGACATACAGTTCACACACATACACACATGCACAAAGACACATATATACATATACGTACATGTACGTGTATACAGTTATTAACAAGGATTCGGAGTGAACCGTTAGAGAGTCTATTTGGGGTTTTGAAAGGGGACTAATGTTGAAGCTAGTGGAAAAAGCAGATTTTAACTTTATGGTTGTTCTAAGAAGAATGTGTCCAGTATTACTTGGCTGGTAAAATACAGTTAAAAATAAATGTTGCCAGTTTTTTGGCCCCAGGAAGATTTCATTGTCTGCCTCCTTTCCCCTGCCGCCTTCTGGACACACCAGGCTTATCCTCAACACCCCATCCTCGCTTCCACTCTCCTCCCAGCCACGGAGTCTTCCCGACTTCACGCAAGCGGGCTGCCCAGAGGGGTGGGGGCTGCCTTCCTTAGTCCCTGCGGAGCACATATTCATTCCCAGGAATCAGAAAGTCAAGTGCCCTTGGGGCCAGCTGGAATTGGTTTGGAATTCCAGCTCGGTAACCTGTCATGAGATCTGGGGTGAGTGACCACGTCACTTAGCGTCTTGTTTCTTTGGCTGTGATGCAGGGATGGTAGTTGCTATATTGAGTAATTAACGAGTTTGGTTGGCTAATGCAGATCTCATGACTGTGGTAACATGATTCAGATGCTGCTGCAAACACAGCTTTCCCTCTGTTTGTTGGCCGTTTGTTGGTCCTTAACTGGCCAATGGGGTGTCACAAAGACGGGCCTGCCAATCATATTATTAGGCAAGGTCACATTTTAGCCACAACAAAGCGGGTGGGTTTATGCCACTTTTTCCTGGAGAGGAGCTGCTCACCCCCTACTCCTTGCCCTTTTCTTTCGATAGTGCTGATGGCTACTCTGTGGCTAAGGAAGGCAACCGGGAGGGAAACCCACATCCTTGAGTACCTATTGTGTGCCAGGCACACTCTAGGCACTATCTCATTTGATCCTTATAATAGCTCTTTGAAGTAGCAGCGTTTTCTATTTTGTATATTTTGCATATGAGAGAATTGATGGTCTGAGAGGAGCAGCAAGCTGGACTGCTGTGAGGTGCAGAGTTCAGGCTCAGTGTCGGATCATACCACATTCCATCCCAGACCTGGCCAGTGTACATGACCAGTGGCCCCCGTGATGACAGGTGGGCCGAAGAGTCAGGTGGCGTGTCCATCCCACCAGAGCCTACAGCTGGCGGAGCCTTCGTGAAGACTCCCACGGTAATCAAAGGCAATGTTCCAGTGGAATGCTGGACTCCATGTCTCTAAGTGGCTTTGAAACCAGAAGACCCGTTCACGAAATGTGACCCTCAGAATAAATCGGTAACAATGGACCCAACAGGATGCTGGCGAGTTGCGACCAAGGGGGATATCTGAGCACTGTGATCAAACAGAGGCAGCTTTCTAAGAGGTTGTCAGCTGGATCTGTGGAAACGGCCCAGCTCAGATCAGCGATCGCTGTTTCTGTGTTTGTAAACATCTCCTGTCCTAGGGGCTCGGGGACAGCGTAGGGCCGGGAGGGAGATGGTTTAGTTCCCCTACCTGACTCGTTCTTCTCGATGATGTCCACCACCTGCCCCACGCTGAGGCTGATCTCCGAGCTCTCCTGCTTCTGGTAGTCTGCCACCACCACATACTGCTCCAGGACCATGGGGTCCACTGAGGTCAGGTCACTCCCTGTGGATACAAAACCCACATGCAACCACTGCCCACACGTGAAGGAGCGAGAGCCAGGGGAGAAGGGTGGGTCAGGAGAATATTCCAAAGAGAGAAAGAAGCTATCATAGGACTTACCTTGAGGGTCACCTCATCCATTCCTTCCTGCATAATTTGCTCGTGCAACCACCAAAATTTACCAAATACCTATTCTATGCAGACACTGTGCAAGGCACTGGGGATTCAGAGTTGGTCAAGATATGGTACCTGACTTGAAGAAGCAGACAGCCTGATGGGAAAGTGCATTCATGCATACCAATCCTTCCTTCCATCCATTTATCTGTCCATCCACCCGCCCATCCAAAATCACTCATCTTGTAATTCAGGAAGTCACCAGTGATGTTCCAGACCCTCTATTAGGTGCTGCGGGTACTAAAGTGAATGAAACAGACATGACTCCCAGTCTCAAGTAAGTTAACCTAGTTGGGGCACATAAACAAATGTACATCATGACAAGTATACAGGATAATAGAAGTATTAATTTTTGATAGCTACACTGCTGGGAACAACCAGGAAGCTGGACCAAGACTGGGAAAGGGGATGCCACATTCAATGGGGTGGTGAACAAGACCTCCCTAAGACAGGGGCATGAACAGGAGACATGAGAGGATGGGGAAAGAACGGTGCAGGCAGACTCTTGGATGGGAAAGGGCCCGGAGCCTTCTAGGAGCTGGGAGGAGGGCAGGGGACTGAAGTCTAGTGAGTGAGGACAGCAGTCCCGTATGAAGACACACAGGCAGGCAAGGGCCAGAGCAGGCAGATAAGAAGTTTGGATTTTTTTCACCCTCAAGTAGAAAGCCAGTAGAGGACTTGAAGAAAGGAATGACAAGTACAGATTTACATCTTTAGAAAGATAATTCTGGCTGCCACACGGGAGCCCGGAAAGAAAGCAGGAGACCAGACGGAGAGCAGCTGTCAGGCAGGAGACGGCGGTGGCTTTGGACCATGGCAGTGGCAGTGGGAGAGAAGGGTGTGGACAGGTGCACCAGGAGAGGCAGTTTCCACAGGACGCGGTGGATGGTGCCCTCTGGAGTTGTGTGGTCCTGGTTAAGCAGTAAATCACACCTGCCTAACAAAAGAAAAGATATTGCAGACTATGGCTGATGTAAAGGGAAATCTGCATTCAGAGACTCCAAAGAGAAGGGAATGGCCCTCTTAGAGCAGCAGACGGGATGCAGTGGGAGGGCAGCCTGACATTTCTGGCCATGGGGTCTTCATTTTCTGCAAGTCCTGATTCACAGCATTTCCTCCTATTGTTTCCATAAACAACTGAAATAGCCAGGGAATCCCACCTCTCTGTGTCTAAGCACACCTGGTAATGAGTGGTGTGCGAGGGCCAGGCCACCCTGAGCCCGTTCTGTGCATCTCTTCCCAGCTCTGTTGGGTGGCGCCTTGCCGGTAGCTTGAAATTGGCCACCGTGGGAGTATTTACACCGTGGATATTGGCAAATGCTACAAAGCAGGGCTTTCGATCAGAAAGCTGGTTGTGAAGTATTTACCAGCACGCCAGTGCCCTCCAGCCTCCGGCATCCAGAAAGAGCACAAAAGCCCTTTGTCAGCACCATGCGCTCTGAATTTTTGATGTGGGAAGCCAGAATAGGGCATTGTAGCAGGGTGAAGCGTTACTGCCTCTTGGCTCTGTGACTGAGGCCAGTGCCTCTTCCCAGCTGAGGTTGATGGAGGGAAACAGGAGTGGGAGGGTCCCAGGGCCACCCTGGGTAGAGAAAGCACGGGAACAGAGAAAGAGCAGAGGAGAGAGAGGGAGATGTAGGCTGAAGGTTCGGGAGCAGGTCTGGAGGGAAGCAGCCCCATACGAATGCCCGTCACATCACACGTAAACTGTATGGCTGCACACCATACATAAACTATGTCAACACAACCACCTGGAAGGTGGCTACTACCTTGTTTTACAGACACGAAAAGAGAGGCCCCGAGATATCAAGTGACTTCCCTCGGGTCCCACAGCTGGATGGTGACAAAGCCAGACTTGAATCAGGTCCACCTGGCTCAAAGGCTCCCAGTGTGGGGGTAGGTGAGGAAAGAAAAGACGCTAGGGAAGGAAGTGTGGTCTGAGGCCCACTTGCTTTCCTTCCCTGTGGGTTCCCATGAGCACCTGTGAGCACCCCCAGGGACCAGTAAGGCCAAGTTTTATTTCCTTGTGTCTCTCAGGGGTATCTTCTCTCCTCCAGCACCTCTCCTGAGGCTGGCCTGCAGGGCTGACTTCCTCACTGCCTTGAGCACAACAGTCCACCCCAGCCAGCCCAGCCGGGCTTTCAGTCGCCTTCGAGCAAGCTGGTTATTGCCCCTCCCGCTGCCCCCGCTAGATAATAAGCTCTGGACAGCGGAAGTCTCGATGGTGTCCTGAACCACCTGGCACTGGGCCCACAAAGATCCTACCACGTGAGTGAATGGAGGTAGATTCTGGCTTGCTGGAGGCTCCTGGCCATTGAGAGCTGGGGACAATTTCCCCAGGGAATGCAAGAGGTAGAGACTCCAGAGTCTAGAGTTTTTACCCCGGGATATAGTCTGCCTTGGGGATCACAATCCCAGGAATGCAGCTACTCTTCCGATTTGGCCCTCTGGTGGGCTGTATCCAGGCCAACTGTGTTTCTCTGTGCCTTAACTTGAGAGAAAGAACTGGAGAAGACAGGAGAAAAGTATCCACTTCACAGTCAGGTTGGAACTTGTGCCCACTGCTCAGGTGCCCAGGGTCTTCCGGGCAGGAAGTCAGGGGGCTGGTGGAGTCCCAGTGCGGCTGTACTCATGCCTGGGGGTTCTCTGCTGCCACCTGGAGGCAGGTCGGTATTCTTTGTCACAGAGCCACAGGTTTGATGCGGGTGGACCTTTTTAGCGCTTTGTCACCTGCCTTTACTCACATCCTCTGCACCAGGGACTGAGTGAGGCTTCTTTAGGATGGTGGTGGTGGTGGGTGGGGGGGGGGGGGGAAACGACACTTATAACTGGTCTCTATCCTGTCCTCCATATTGCAGAGTGCTTGCTTCAAAAATGCTACTCTGATCATGCCTCTCCCTGCTCAGCACCTGCTGTGGATCCCCAATGCCCTCAGGTTCTCTACAATCTGGACTCTGCTGGCCTTTATGGCCATGTCTTTTGGCTCCCTCATCCCTGGTGTACCTAGAAAACATCATAGGCTGTTTTCAGGATGCCTTTTCCTCTCCTCTGCATTCACATGGGAACCACCTATTCTTAGCCTCCTAACTCGTCTCTTGCCCCAGCCTTGACTGCTACGATTTGCTCTGGACACAGCAGCTATAGTGATCCTTTCAAAAGATGTGTAAGATCATGTTCCCCAAAGGTCAAGACCCTACAGTGGCTCTGCCTCACTCAGGAAAAGCCCGGTGGCCCATGGGGCCCTGCCTGATCTCTCTGACCATTTCTTCTCCACTGTCCCCAATATGCCATAGGAAATTGCATGGTTCAGCGTCCTGCTCAAGTGGTATCTCATCAACAGAACCTTCTCTTGACCTAATTTTATTTTGCCATAGAGTTAAAAAAAAAAAAAAAAAACACAGAGTCTGTGTAGTCACTAGTTTTCCTGTTTTCCCACTCTAGAACATAAGCCCCATGAGTGCAGGCTCTTGTTTAGTGTTGGACTCCCTGCCTAAAGGCTCACAGGCCCATGTGGTCTGCTTTGGTGCAAAGGGAATTTGGAAAGTTGTTCTATTTTTATAGGGTTGTAAAGGAGAAGGAGAGGAAGAGGAAAAATTATTATTGACAGAACCTGTATGTGGCCTGCAAACCCTAAAATATTTATTTGCTTTCTGGCCCTTCAGAGAAAAAGTTTGCCAACATCTGGCCTAGAATGTGAAGGGCACCTACTAGGCTCAATGAACATCTGAAGGAAAAAAAAAAAGAATACTCTAAAACTCATCCTTGGCAGACTTCCTTCCTCAGAAAGAAATGAAAATGTCTTCCTTTGCCATACCTACAACATCTCATTTTCTTTATCCTCCTATTCGTTCTACCAGACTGTAAGAAGGCTTCCCACATCTTGTTTACCTTTGCATTCCCTGGGGGCCTAGAGTACTGTCAGGTACACAGTAGGTGCTTGGTAAACATTTAATCAACAACTGCATCTGTCCTGTTCACTCGTCACTTAGCACAGACACTCAACGGATATTTGTGGACTGAATCGACAAATGATGAAGGGAAACTTCTAGAAACTCTTTGCTTTGCATGGCGCCAGGCCTCCTCCTGTGTTGAGAGTTACAGAAGGCACCTGTCCATCTTATGGGCAACCAAAGACTGTTCCTTCTTGCCTACAAGTAGGGACAGAGCTTTGATTAAGTCAGGGTCCAGTTAAGTATGGTTGCTCTGTCCAAAAAGTTAATTGTTGCCACCCAGTTTTAACAACTGATGGTGGTACACCTGTACCATATAGTTTTCAGGAATCTGATCAATGGAGTGATCTATTCATTTCTGCACCAACTCTCCCAACCATGCTGCCAAGGGGATTTGGGAGAACCAACAGCAGTGACAGAATCAGAAAATCACGGGACTCACTGCAAACAAGACACAAATCCAGGAAGTGAGGAGGTCAGGGAGCAAGGGTTAGGACTCTGGGCTGGCCATGAGCAGATCTGGTACTGGCACAGGGCTCAGGGCTGGCACTTCCTCCAAGACTCGCTCAGGGGCCACGTCTCTGTCTTACATCTCCTTCTTCTTCTTCTATGACAGCAGCTTTTATACCAAAGTGCCCTGCCATTAAGTGGTTCAGAAAAAAGTGCATGGGGCTGCCTTTCCAGCAGTTCTTTTGCCTTCATTTTACCCAGAGCACTCAACTTATGAAAACCTCATTGGTTTGACTACCAGAATTCTCACACTAGGCTTCAAGCCACACTAGGCTTCAGGCTTTAGGTGGACACCTACCGGTGGACAGTGATATTGCACCCAAGCTCTATAATGCATGTAATAGCAATACCTCAAGTTGATGCAGGTAGTAGCTAAGTACTAGGAGCTACAAGTTTGAAATCAAAGTGTTCCTAGGTAAGCAGTGTCATTCTTGTGGTCCAGCAGGAATAAGAGAAGGAAAAGGTCAGCATAGAGGAGGAGATTCGACAGCAGAAGGGTGATTTTGACATTGAGGAAGTGCTATAACATATTCTCAAGAGGTACAGTGCCTAATCTACCACAGAATTTCCTAGCTGGGATGTTTTGATTCATGATGACATGTTCTGAATTTTATTAAAATTTTTTTAAATGTTTATTTTTGAGAGAGCGAGCAAGCAGGGGAGGGGCAGAGAGAGAGGGAGACACAGAATCTGAAGCAGGCTCCAGGCTCTGAGCTGTCAGCACAGAGACCAATGTCAGGGTCAAACTCATGGACCGCAAGATCATGACCTGAGCCGGAGGTGTATGCTTAACCGACTGAGCCACCAGGTGCCCTGACTTGTTTTGAATTTTAAAGATAACTGCCATGGACTGAATTCTGTCCCTCTAAAATTCATATACTGAAGCTTTAACTCCCATGGGATGGCATCTGGAGGTAGGGCCTTTGGGAGGTAATTAGGTTTCGATGAGGTCATGAGGGTGGGGCCCCCAGGATGGGGCTAGTGCCCTTACTAGAAGAGACACCAGAGGGCTCGCTCTTGCTCTCTCTCTGCCATGGGAGGACACAGAGAGAAGGCAGCAGCCTAGAAGCCAGGAAAAGGGCTCTTGCCAGAACCTGATAAGGCCGGCACCTTGATCTCACACTTCCAGGCTCCATACTTGGAAAGAAATAAGCTTCTGTCGTTTAAGCCACTCAGTCAATAGTTTTTTTGTTATGGCAAAATATAGTGAGCAATGATAAAGTGGGATTTTCTTTCCAGAAATTGACCATACTGCCAGTCTTACTGGAAGAGCCAGTAAATCAGAGTATACTTCAATAAGTAAAGGGTAGAAAAATCAAGAAGAAGGACGCTCCTTAAATAATCAGATGACCTTAAATTTTGGTGGGAGGATTTTTTTTCTTGCAAGAGGAGCAGAAGTTGAGACCACATTAGCCAAAGTCTGCTGGCAAATTCTGGAGACAGGTGAGCTTTCTTCAGTTCAGAGTACCAGCGCAGAAATCTCTGGGTTTGGGCTGTCGACCTTAAATCCCTTTCACACTCAATCAAGAAGGCCATTACTAACACAGAGGAAGAGTTCAAAGGTCAGATAAAAAAATAAGGCTCATCTCCGCATGGGTCCTTAGTCTGAAAAGAAAAATGTTATTTTCCATCCAGCTGAACTATAAATAAATCCACCCCTCCATCATTGCAGGTGAATGATGTAATAGTCATCACCACAAATTAGAGCTTCTTCTCTCTTTTCCAGACCAGTCCCCTCATCAAGCCTGTTCCGACCGGACACTTTGGTTTTTGCAAACTAGAGCTGTCTCTTTCCTCTCTTCCTTCAGCCTTTCCCTCCAGGAAAGTCTCTGCACACTCAAAGCCAGAAACTCTTGTGATCAGCCCAAGAGTTCCTCTTCTCCTCTCTGTTCTTTTCTAAGAAACGTATCATTATCCTCAGACCCCAAGGGCCGTGCACAGCTTGAACAGGATGCCATGGCTCTGGCCAGTACTTATTAAACGCAAAGTGCAGCTCTAAACAGACTGGCTGGGGAAAGGCGGGCGTTCGTTCCAGACACGAGACCTTGAGGCAGAGACCTAGCTCCTCTCTACTTTCCCTTGCAAGCACAGCTTGGGCCCTGTAAAGCTGACCACAGGCCCTGTACCCAGGGGGCAGTAAAGGGACCAGGACTACTGAATTTGGAATTTCTACTGATGCTGGACAGGGACATCCATGTGCTTTGAATTAATGGCAGCAGTATAAAGACGGCAGCAAACACGTATCACTTAAAATGTGCCAGGCACTGGTCTGAGTGCTTTATACATATTACTATAAATCCTACAATAACCCTCCAAGATGGATTGCTATTATTATCCCCCATTTTACAGATGAGGAAATGGAGGGCCACGAGAGGAGGCAGGCATCCTTTTTTACTTCTGGGATCTCTGCTTGGCCCTTCTCTCCCCACAGCATTATCAATGCCCTCAAACTTCCTGGAGTCCTAGATACATAAAAGAACTTGGAATTCTGGAAGCTCTGAGGACCATGCTGGCTCCAGGTGTGGTGGTGTGGGTAGGGGACTCTGCAGATATGGGGGGGGGGCAGATAATACTGGGTTTGCAGAAGAAAAGGTTGGACTATTGTGAGTCTAAAGTTATCAACCCCAGGCCTGCGATGACTCAATCATTCCTCTGTGCATACCTAAATCCCCACCTTCTCTTTTCCCATCACTGCTCTAGGGAGTGGAAGGGGTGCTGGGAAGGAAGGGAACTGGTGCCCGGGAGAAGGGAGTGAGTGCCAGAGGTGGTGGAAAGAGTGGCCCTTATTGCCCAGCAATAACAGCAGCCCAGAGGCTGGGCCCAAACCTGTGCCTCCCGCCTGCGCACCTTCCCGCAGCCCTAACTGCCCCTTCGCTCTGTGGAAAGCTCCCATTCACTCTTTAAGACCCAGTGTCCCTCCTTTTGTGACCCCTTCCAACACCTGAGAAGAATGCTCTTAGCTGTGAGTCACCACATTCCTCTGTCTACAGCAGAATAAAGGTATTTAATCCCCTACAGGTGGTCAGGAGATATCAGGCTCCCCTATTCCTCTGAGGCATTCTCAGGGAAAGACAGCAGGTCTTATCCACTCTAACTTTTTGACACAGGATGCAACAACCTCCAACACTTTTTTTTGGAAAACAGGCTGGGGTATCAACCAGTCAATCAAGCATCAACCCATCCATCCACCCATCCACCCACCCAGTCCCATGCTGTATCCCTCAGGCAGTGCCCAGGGACTGGCAACCATCGGTGCAGAGTAGGGGTATGCTCACCATTGAATGAATAGGAGAAAATGGAAAAATATTCTTACCAGATTTCTTTTTCCCAACATGCTCCCTGCACAGGAAAGAAAGGGGTGGGAGAGAATAACAAGTCAGTACTGTTATATAGCGACACGAGTTATTCCATTAGGAAACGGAGATTCTCCATTCCACATCATCTCTAGTGAATGAAGAAAAGCCAAGTCAGCCCCAGGGACCCAGACTCTTCAAAGAAGAAAGAATTCCTTTTCATTTACTCCTTTTGCCTGGTAAGTGCTTCGGTGCCCTGGGGACTAGCATCTCCACTCTATTTGTAGAGTAGGGGGCCCTGGGGAGGAGCTGATGTGGGGGCATGCAGTATAAAAGCAAGAGTAGGCCCCCATGTTGCACTGAGCCTGATGCGCACCTCGTCAGGCACAGCAGAGGCCCTGTCCCACCTCCTGGGGGTGCCCTGAGCCATATACACGAAGCAGAAAGCTCTTGGCAGTAAGTGGTGAGGGGAACACACTATAACACTGGGTAGGAGTCTGGATAGCAGTGAAGAAAACACATCTCCCTCGTGGTGACAGAGAGAACACTACCGTGGGCTAGAATTCACACTGAACAGTGAGTAATGTATTTGTCAACCACATCAGAATGTGTACATACCGCTGCATCACAAATACAGTATGACAAATCAGGGTTTACACATACTTTTGAAGTAAATTATCCCAGTAGTAAAAAGGTTTCCAATGCTATAAAGAGAAAAGGGAGGTGACAGGGTGGTTGGGTTGAGACAGATGTTGTGGTGGCAATAACATTAGCCAAATGTTATTACCATATGCCAGTACCCTGCTAGATACTGTTTAGTTCACTCACTTAACACTCAGAACAGCCCTTGGGAATAAGTACTCTTTTAATGCCTATTTTATAGATGAGAAAATGAGGCCCAGAGAGGTTAGGTAACTTGCCTAAGGCTACACAGCTAGTAAGTAGCAAGCGGAAGCCAGATCTACCTACCTAATTTTTGTTTTATGTTTATTTATTTTTGAGAGAGAGAGAGAGAGAGAGAACGCGAGCAAGCAGGCGAGGGGCCGAGAGAGAGGTGGACAGAGGATCGGAAGCAGGCTCCGCGCTGAGAACAGAGAGCCTGACACGGGGCTTGAACTCACTAACCGCGAGATCACGACCTGAGCTGAAGTCAGACACTTAACCAACCAAGCCACCCAGGTGCCCCAGATTTACCTAATTTTCAAAAATTGAGCTATCATTCACACATCATAAAATTCATTGTTTTAAAGTGTAGAGTCCACTGGTTTTTGGCATCTTCGCAAGGTTGTGCAATCATCACCCTAATTCCAAAAATATATTCATCATTGCACAGGGAAGCCCTGTACCTATAATGGTCACTTGCTATCCCCACCCTTCCGAGTAGCTGGCAAACACTAATTTGCTTGCTGCCTTTAATGACTGGTCTATTCTGGACGTTTCATATGAATGGGGTCATACAGCAAGAGGCTTTTTGTGATGGCCTTCTTTCGGGTGGAATGTTTCCAAGGGCCATCCATGTTGTACCATGTGTCACTATTTCATACCATCTGATGGCTGAATGCTATTCCCTCATGTGGGTAAACCACACTTTGCTGATCTGCTCATCAGCTGATGGGCGTTTGGGTTGTTTCCGCTTTTTGTCCATTATGAATATGCATCTATCAACATCTGAGCTGAGGTCAGACGCTGAACTGACTGAGCCACCCAGGTGCCCAAATTTAGTCTCATTTTACAGTCTGGCTTTTTAGCCACCGTGTAATGACGCTTTCACCGTTATCTTGGAAGGGGGTGAGGGGGCTCAGACAATCCCCTGAGCCTGGGGCCACACTCCTGTGCAGCTGGGAGGAGTGGCAGGGCCCCAGTGCTGGGCTGCGCAGGTTGGTCGTGATGTCCCCTGGCCAGGCACTACCTCAGTGGGGCTAAACTTCATCACCCGTGCGTGGGGGGTTGGGGGGTGGTGGTGGTGAGAGCTACGGAGGAATAATGTAGCTCAGGCTTCCTGGCACTTGCTGTGGAGACACTGCTGGTCAGAGCGCTATATCTGGACCGCCCCAGTGAACCCTCACGACAATCCTCGAGGGTTACTCCATTTCACAGACGGAGACACGGAGACCCAGGGAGGCGAAGCACCTCAGCCAACATCAGAACCCAGGAGACCTGGCTGGGGCCCACTCTCCTGCCCGAACCCTGGCCTGGCCAGGGGCAGGGGGGGCTGCAGCTGGGGCAGGGGGCTGGGGGCAGGAGGGGGCTCTTGGTTTCCAGCAGCAGCAGCAGCATGTGTGGGCTCACGTAGGCACATTACCTCTCTGTGCGACATGCCTGGCAAGGTCCCAAGTTTTCCCGTGCACGGCAGCAAAAACCTTCCTTTAACAGCACCGTTTGGAATTCATCTCCTGTCTGCCTCAAGACTGCTGGGAAAGACCCCCAGTCTCCACCTTCAGCCCTGACTCGGGAACGGGCTTCAGGAGGCTGACCAAGGGACCAGCTGCTTTGCTGCTGTTCATTCCTCCCTAAGCCAACAACCGAGGCCCACCAGGGACTGCCTGAGGGGCCCCAGAGCCATCCCCTGGGCCCTCAGCAACCCTCCTACCTTCCCCTTCAAAGCCCGCTTTAAAGACAGGAAGACGTCACCAGGTAAGTACCTGCCGCGTGCCAGACTCTCCTTTATCGGCAGGGTGGTGTTCAAGCCTCACAACCACGATGCGATCAAGGTCAGCCAAGCCCACCTTGCTGATGAAACAGAAGCTCAAGGAAGTCAAGACGCTTGTTCAAGGGGACAAGTAGGAAAAGGAAACAGAAATTGGGAACTTTTCCTTCTTTCCAGGAAGCCTCTTGGAACTAGATACATATTCTCCAGCAGGATGCTGGTTAGCTGCCGTAGCTGTTACTTTGTGCTTTCTTTGGTATAGTCCAGGCGATGTTTTGTATTTTTAGTGGATGTTCTATTGGTGTGCATGTGTGTGTGTGCACGTGCGCTCTCTCTCTCTCTCTCTCTCTCTCTGGTCAAAGAGCCTGGCTGGCACTTCTCAGCCCTTCCTGACAGGTGCTGTCTCTTGCTCCTAGGACCCCATGACGGCCCTGCACCTGTAGGCTGGTCTCCCCTTCCCTCATGGCGACTGCAGACACACATGGTGGTCTCCCCCACAACAAAACTTGTCAAAAAGCACTATGTGCATATCACTGTCTCACTGGCGGGGCATATGGTGCCATCAACTCCTGGTATGTGAAAGCTAGAAGGCAGGTGAGGAAATTCTTTGCCGCGTGCCCCAAGCAGTGGGGACTATCGGCTGTGCAAGGACAGGCGCCAGGAAGCGCCGTCTGTCTGCTGTAGGGGCTGTGGTGAACATTTTGGATAGCACTGGACCCTGGACGACCAAGATCAAATCCCGGCCCTGGCCCCGTAACCCTGAGTGGGTCTCGTCACTCACCCGTCCATCTCCCTCACGGTCCTGAGCACATTCACCCTTGTGGGCAAGGCACTGGGATGAATCTCCTGCACAGGCCCTGCCTCAAGGGCCCGTAGCCTCCTGTTTCTAGCATGCTCCATGCGTTCCGTGGTTAAGTGTGGATCTGTAGGGGGTTCCTTCCCTGGGAGGGCCACATGGAGCAAGGCCCCACCAGGGCTCAATCAATGGGATCCAGCACAATTTTTACTTTGCTTTAGCGGCGTCTGGGTGGCTCAGTCCGACTCTTGATTTTGGCTCAGGTCATGATCCCAGTGTCGTGGGATTGAGTCCCACATCAGGCTCTGTGCTGAGTGCAGAGCCTCCTTGGGATTCTCTCTCTCCCTCTCTTTTTGCCCCTCTGCCCCACTTGCATGTTCTCTCTCTCTCTCTCTCTCTCTCTCTCTCTCAAATTAAGAGAAAATCTTTACTTCGCTATACTCCCGTTCTTCCTGGGGCTGGCCTGGCAGCAGGGATGGCTGTGAGGGCACACTCTGGGAAGCTGTACACACGCCAACTTACTCTTTGGGGGGATTCAGGTCCTCAGGTCTTGTCTCAAAGAACTGCAGCACCTCGTCACACTGAGAGATATAGGGGGGCAGCTGGATCAGGGCCTGGAGAAGAGACACAAGTGAGTCCAGGGGAAGGAAAGGGGTGTCGGGAATGCAATGAGCCAGGGGTTCTCAAACTTGGGTATGATCAGAATCTCTTGGCGGTGGGGGAGTGTGTGAAAACAGCTGGGGACCAGCCCCAGATTTTCTGATTCAGTAGATCTAGGGTGGGGCCTGAGAATGTGCATGTCTGACACCTTCTCTAGTGCTGCTGCTGGTTTGCGGACCGCACACACACATGCGTGCACACACACGCACTCTGTATACACACACACACACGCGCGCACGCGCATTATGGGCATATCTGAACAAATAACATGCACACATTTAGATAAAACACTCAACTATGGACTTCATGCCACGTCATCATTCTTACACAACTTCGTCTCTACTGGATATTGGGTGTCTACTGCACAAACGTATCCTACTTTACCGACCCAGCTGCCTACTGGTGAACGCTTAGCTTGTTTCCAACACGCCCGCATGGATGTCTTAACTCACAGATCTGCAGTTTTAAGTGAAGGCGCAGCTTTAGGATTTGGGTAGAGGTTCGAAGTTCCCAAGTTATGGGGCACGTGGGTGGCCTAGTAGATTAAGCATCTGACTTTGGCTCAGGTCATGATCTCACAGTTCATGAGTTTGAGCCCCACATTGGGCTCGCTGCTGTCAGCACAAAGCCCGCTTTGGATCCTCTGTCCCCCCTCCCCCACTCGCTCTCTTAGATAAATAAAAAAAATTTTTTTTTTTAAGTTTTACTTTTTTATTTTTTTTAATGTTTATTTCTGACAGAGAAAGAGAGAGAGAGAGAATAAGAGAGGAGAGCAGAGAGAGGGAAACACAGAATCTGAAGCAGGCTCCAGGCTCTGAGCTGTCAGCATAGAGCCGGATGTGGGGCTCGAACTCACAAACCATGAGACCATGACCTGAGCCAAAGTCGGACACTTAACTGACTAAGCCACCCAGGTGCCCCCTCCCCCCCAAAAAAAAAGTTTTAAAGAAAAGAAGTTCTCAGGTTACTGAGGGGTTGAAACATCTGGTATCTCCCACTGCCCGAGTCATATAAATCTGCCATCCCAGCTCATCAGTTAAAGGACCCTCAGAGGTGTGCCAGCGGATTGGATAAGGAGTGGGAAGAAAGCACAAATGGGACTAGGTGTTGTGCTAATTTACCTACCAATAGGTATCCATTCATTGATTCAACAGACATGATCTTTGTGCCCAGAACTGCATGGTTTCTGTGTCCAATACAAGAAGTGTAGGGTACATCCCGATCACGAAGGGATTTGAAACTAAGACATGGCTCCACAACGAATAAACAGCTCAGCTTAACAAATCTATTTAAGCCCCTTCTGGCGCAGCTCCTGAGGACGCGGATCTGTGTGCAGTAATGCAGCTTCGTGCACGCATTTTATTACAAACTTCTATGCAGGGAGGGCGCCTGGGCCCATGCACACATTTGAATAGCACAGGCCATTCTGCCAGCCCACAGTCATGCTCTGGAGTGGGCAGGACTCCCGTACCCCCTTACCATGCTGAGTGTGAGCTGGGCGTGGAAAAATCGTGTCTTGTATTTTCTACATGACAAGCCTCCATTAACTCACCTCCCATTCATCCCCTGCAAAGTGACCCCCGCCCCCAACCCTGCTACAGGGCTGTGATGGACTAATGGGGAGATGGATGCAGGGGAGGTCTCCAATGGCACCCTTCTTGGAGCCTCAGGAGGTATTCTGAGTTATTTTTCTGGTTTTTAAAAAGTTAAAAAAAAATTTTTTTAATTTTATTCATTTTTGAGAGACAGAGAGAGACAGAGCGTGAGTGGGGGAGGGGCAGAGAGAGAGGGAGACACAGAATCCGAAGCAGGCTCCAGGCTCCGAGCTGTCAGCACAGAGCCCGATGCAGGGCTGGAACTCACGGACCACAAGATCATAACCCGAGCTGGAGTTGGACGCTTAACTGACTGAGCCACCGGCGCCCCTGGTTTTTAAAAAGTTTTAATTGTGGTAAAAGACACATAAAATTTGCCATTTTCATCATTTTTTTTAAAAGTAGGCCCCATGCCTGACATGGGGCTCGAACTCATGACTCTGAGACCAAGAGGTGCATGCTCTATTGACCGAGCCAGCCAGGTGCTCCATCATCTTAACCATTTTTAAGCATACGGTTCAGTGGCATTAAGTACATCCACTATGTTGTGCAATCATCACCAACACCCATCCCCAGAACTCTATTTTGCAAATCTGAAGCCCTGTACCTATTAAACAATTCCCCCTTTCCCCAGCTCCTGGCAATCATTCTGCTTTCTGTCTGCATGAGTCTGACTACTCTAAGTACCTCATACAAATGGACTGATACATTTGTCCTTTTGTGACAAGCTGTTTTCACTTAGCTAATGGCCTCTAGGTCCATCCATGTGGCAGCATGTGCTGGAATTTCCTTCCTTTTCAAGGCTGAGTAACATTCCACCGGAAGGATATGCCACATTTTGTTTATTCGTTCAGCCAAAGATGGTCACTTGGGTTGCTGACTCTGCACAGCCTTTGAGTCAGGCTCCTGTCCCGGATCTAAAGTGGGAGAACACATGTGAAGCGGGTGGACATGTTTTTAGTAGGGTGATGTCCCCAGTTACTGTCCATGCTCTATCCTTCTGGGATGAAAGATGTTGACCACACGGGGCCTGATATTTGTGGTTCGTTGATTTTATTAGCCTTGAAGTAGCTTCTGCTCTGTAGCAAATCCCCAGGAACTGACCTTTTCCAGGCCGGAGGCAGACGGCCCAAGAGGGAGAGAGTGGGCCCTCCCCTCCCCTGCCTCTGGTCCCTGACCGCCTTCTCCTTCTGGTTTAGAGTATTCATTCTTCCTGGGACGAGCTGCCATCTTGGGGACCCCTGTGGCTCTCTCATTCCTCCGAAACCCTGCAGTTCTTACAGTTAGAACCACATAATGAAAGAGCTGATTATATGCTGGACCGTGGCTGCTTAGTGGGCAGAAATCTTGCGGCTCCCCCCAGACTGCAATAACACCATTCATTCCCTTATGTGGGCTCAGCACTCGATGGCTCCTGAAACGCGCTTGTCTGTGTCATTCCATGTAATCCTGGGAGGGCTGGCCCATTTCAGAGATGGGCAAATGGAAGCTCTGGGGAAGTAGGTAGGACCTGAGAGCCCAGGACTGGCTGACACCAGCTCCTCTACCCCAAATCTACAGAGGGCAGGGGTACATAGTTGCTCATCCTGCACCTTTCCTCATGCCTAGAAAGTGCTGGGGAGACCTTCATACCTGGTTGAAAGTATTCACTGGATCAATGACACGAGGAAATGGCCTGGATGTGGCCACGTGGCCCTGTTTGGGGACAGCAGGGTGGGCCCCGAGGTGACCATGGCCTCTGCCTACAGGGGCTTCCCAGGGTGCTTCTTGCTGAAATGAGCAGAGGCTCCAGAAGGACCAGCGAGGGAAGGGACAACAAGGCCCACGGAAACTTCCTGCCAATGCCAAGTTCTCTTTTGGTTTTGAGTAATTCCTGGGAAGTAAAAGCCAAACCTCCAAACAATAAAATACAGCCAAGTTACTAATAAAAGGCAGCCAGAACGCTTTGATGTTTGCCCCTTCCATTCTGGAAGGACAGGCTAACAGTAAAAACATGACCTGGGGCAGAGCAATACTCCAGAATCATCTTGTGTTTGGTCAGTAAAGACAAAGAACCATAGTTCCAGGAAAACTCGGTTCTTCCCTGGATAGAGTCTGAGCCTTTTGGATAAATGTGGTTGGTCAATGCAGGGAGGAGAGGAGAGGTAAGAACAAGTGTTGTTTGCTGAGGGTGACGAGGAAAGGTCAGACAGACCCAGCTCCTCATTCTGGCTCTAGCCATGTCCCATCACCTCTCTGAGCCTCAGTTTGCTCATCTGTAAAATGGAAATCACTAACATCCATGTCGGAAGGTTGTGCTACAAGACTTTAAGATTTCCATCATACACCAGCCCCTTGGTAACATTAAGTTAACCCTTTGTCTCTCAGTACTGTATCAAGTACAATAGGGTGGTGGTTCCCAGAGGTGGTTTTAGAGCCAGCAAGAGGACTCTTAAATAACAGCGGCTTGGCTAGTGAGGGAGTTTTCTCAGCTTCAAAAGAGTGCCCCAGAGAATGAACACTTCTCTTTACATTTTATTTTTATCATGTTTAAAAATTGACTTATTCAGGGGCGCCTGGGTGGCGCAGTCGGTTAAGCGTCCGACTTCAGCCAGGTCACGATCTCGCGGTCCGTGAGTTCGAGCCCCGCGTCGGGCTCTGGGCTGATGGCTCGGAGCCTGGAGCCTGTTTCCGATTCTGTGTCTCCCTCTCTCTCTGCCCCTCCCCCATTCATGCTCTGTCTCTCTCTGTCCCAAAAATAAATAAACGTTGAAAAAAAAAATTAAAAAAAAAAAATTGACTTATCCTGAGTGAGGGGAGAGAGAGAATCCCGAGCAGACTCCACGCTGTCAGCAGGGAGCCTGATGTGGGCTCGAACTCAAGAACTGTGAGGTCAATGACCTGAGCCCAAATCAAGAGTCGGATGCTTAACCAACTGAGCCACTCAGGTGACCCTCTCTTTATATTTCAACAATTTTATTTTAGGGTGATAAGAACAGTCCCCACGAGATCTACCCTCATAGGAAATTTTAAGCGTACAATATGGTACTGTCGGCTGTAGATCTCTACAGCTTATTCATCTCGCTTGCCTGAAACTTTATGCCCGTAGGTTAGTAACTCTCCATTTTTCCGTCCCTCCAGCCCCTGGTTAGCACCATTTCGCTCTGTGATTCTATGAGTTTGACTATTTTAGATATCTCATGTAAGTGAAATGATGTAGTATCTTATCTTTTTGTGACTGGCTTATTTCACTTTAGCACAGGTTCATCCACACTGCCACACATTCAGAATGTCCTTCTTTTTAAAGGTGGAATAGTAGTCTATTGTAAGTATATATCACATTTAGGTTGTTTCCACGTCTTGGCTATCATGAAGGGTGC